AAAAAAAATTTACTAATTAATTTTGTAAGCTACTTAAAATGGAAATACGAGAAAAAAATCGATTATTGTGAAAAACGTGATAGTTTAAACCATAAAGATTAATATTTACTATTATTATATGAATAATTAATTATAATGCATAATGCAGAAAAAAACGAAAAAATCATAAACTAACGTAACAAAAAAAATATAAAATTTTTTTAAAATTAACAAAAAAAAAATGTTAAAAGTAATTGAGTAGAAAAAAAAAAACTAAAACAAAAAAATGAATAAAAAAAACTTGAAAAAACTCAAAAAACGGTCTTTTAACGGAACTTGCACTGCTTCGTTGACTAACGGCAGTTAATGTGTAGCTGGTGTTGCACGCCATTTACGACAGAGGGCGCCATAGCTGAGCTGCTCAATGTTGCCGCAACATGTGGCGGGAGAGTGACGTAGGTCATGTTGCAAAGGATAATGGAATGCATAACTAAACATAAGCATCGACATAAACTTAAACGGGGCACACAAATCGACCCTTTGAGTAATTAACCCCTTTTGCAGTTATGCGCTATTTGTCAACCAGGCAACAAACGGCACACCAAGGAGTAACACTAACACATACACACACACACACGCACGCAGACAAACACACCTGGATTTGTCTTCTCGGCTCCTGCGTTGGGTGTCAGAGATTAACGCCTGACTTGAATTATGGCCTGGCACCAGAGCCTGGCCTGGCCGGGCCGACCCGACCCCTGTGGCCCGGCCACTGACCAGGGCAAACTACTTCGCAAATCCGAGCAGCAACAAAAAGTCGCAGGCATGGAAAAATCATGTATAAAACATAAGAGCGACAAAACACGCACACACATCGATTGGGCCGGGTGGGGGTGGTGAGTGGGGTGTGGGGCTCTGAGGCACCTACCGAATGTCGCCAGATGCCAGCCTAGTCTGGCCATAGCGTGAGGCGTTTAAAAATTGAAAACCAATTTCGTAGCGATTTAAAAGAACGAAGCGGTTCGATTGGTCGAATATGCCTTTGTGTATGAACGTGTGTGTGTTTTTGTGGTTGTGTGTGTGTGTGTGTGTGTTGGCCAGTTCATTGTGTGACTTTTCACACTTCTCTGGGCCAGTTGCCAGTTGGGGCTCAGTGTTTAGCTTGTGTTACCAATATTTATGGCTCAGTGGGGATACGACGCGCGACTCTTGGCTGGCGTGACCGCAACCCGGGATCAGCCCAAGTGTAATCAGCTGACCCGTCGTGACGTCGCCAGATCTTATGTGTGTGTGGGGATGTGGGTGGCGAATACTCCAGCTTAATTTAATGGGCGTTTAACCTTGTGACTCGCCTGTGGCACCCACCACGTGACGCGACACGATCTGTCTGGCGGCTGTCATGATGGATATGTGCAATTTATTGGCACCTCACTTCCATAATCAGCCAGCTGCACGCGCCCCCTCCCCCACCGGGCCAATCGGAGTTCGCTTGTTAAACAGCTGCTTGTCAGCCGGCGGGAGCAATTTGCCCAACTACCTACAAACTATGCATAAGTACAAATGCGCATTTGCTACGCTGCGAGTAGCTCCGCTCTGGCACGGACAGGTGAAGTGAGGGAACCTAAAGCTATGTGTCTATATAGAGTATATAGTCGATAGATATGTAGACCTGAATATCATCTAGGTATATGGAATGCTCGAATATATGTATGTACTTATACGAAGGCGGGGCAGACCCATTAAGCTGAATATGTTTGACACTTCTCTAAGTATTTCCTCTAAGTTTTGTTGCTAAGTATTTCCTTTGAGTATTTTCTCTACGTATTTTCTCTAAGTATTTCCTCTAAGTTTTTCCCTTATATACTTCCTCAAAGTTTTTGTTCTGCCTTTTATCCAAATTTTTAATGCTTAGCTGAAGGATCACACACTTTACAGCACTGTACGAATGACCCCCACCAGGCCTGGGCGACTGACTGAAGAAATACTACAGCTGCTGCCCTTTATATAGAACGACCTTCACTCAATCAAAGTTGCTCTCAGATGTTGAGTCTGGCCCAGGTAGAGGTCGTTGCAGTCGAGCCTCAAGTGACCAATCGGAACAGTCTCTGCTGCTGCAAGCATTCGAGCTTCGTTTTACGTAAATATAATACTGCTGCATACACATAGACAACTTAGATGCTCTTCTTGTAGTTTATCAGACAGAGAGTCAGCCAAAGAGACAGACAAAGAGACAGACAGTGAGGTAGACTGTGTGATCGCTATACAGGTATACAGACAAACAATCGAACAGATATATATGTATATACAAACAAACATACATAGGTAAATCGGATTACCTCATTACGCTGCTATTCGGCTTTATAGTTCTCTTAAGGACTATGCCTAAATTTCTGGCTTTTTCATTATAAACATTTTCAATATAAATATTACGATATACATACACATACATATACATATTGTTATAAAATTTACTTTTAATAAAAAGTGTTGTGTTTAACATTGTTTAATTAAGAGTACTGTACACCCTAGTCCTAATGTAGTCATATACATATGCATATGTATACTCTATTGCATTTGAGCCCTTCTCAAATAACGCTGCACTAATGCGAGATGTTGGGATTGAGCATGATTACACGATTTAAAGTGCAGAGCCGTCGAAATGGAATCGCGTGTCAGCGAGAATTGTGCAGAATTGCAGTCATGAATGCTTAAGCCTAATTGGAAACATGGCTTCGATTCCTGAGGTAAGGCTCCGCATTTAGATAAGCGCCACCCCCGCGCCGTCCCACGTCCACCGCAGCGACAACATTTGCACATCGGCTTAGCGCCATTATTGGCGCAGACCATAAATATTTTGGAGTGTTCGCAATTTTGATTTGCCGCACCGCGTAATTAGTTTGGCCTGGTCCAGGACTACGGCCGGGTTCGAGTTCAGGTCCAGGTCCCGGTCCAAACATTCTCACCGCATCCAATATCGGAACGAAATTGGTAATGCGCTTAACTGATTTTTGGCGGCATCTGCGAATTTCTAATAATTAAATTAAATATTTCATAAAATTGTTTCAGATGCGCCATCAAGTGTTTCACTCATGCCATACGCATATAATTATAAATTAATATGTATCCATATTATATGTGGATATGTATGTGTATGTATATGCATATAC